CAGGATCGCCAGGCCATGCAGCAGGAGGCTCATCGGCCTCACCATTGAATTCCAACTCAAGCTCAATAGTAGGCTTGCTCAGCCCTCCGTGAGGGCTTTGGGCTTCTTTGGAAATTCCTCTTTGGAGAAGGGGATGAATTGTCCTCCTCTTCACACCTTGCTGCTTCTTTTCACGAGCATCCGCCTGTCTTGACTGGAGCAGGTCGATCTCTTTGAGGTAAGCCAGGTTGATAGAAGCCAAGGCGGGTGGCACCAGAGGCGAGAAAGGTCTGCCCGCAGCTGTGCGAGATGCCATCTTGTCCTGAAACATCGTAGGCGGTGGATCTTCGATTAACAGATTAACACACAAGCTAGGCCCCAGTCGCCCGCATCGAACACAGACTGCTCTATAATGCCATCACGCCCAAAGCCAAAAACTCCTTGGTGGCCAGAAAGTCGCCTGATGCTGCTGGATCCATAGCGTGTGCCACATAGGTCAAGAGAGACGACCCCTTCGCTTGGAGCTCCTCTTCGTTCCTCGGAAGGACACTGGAGGGATGTAGCTTCTTGAACACCTGCTGCTGAATCATCATGAAGAACCGCGACTGTCGGGCGGCAAGGTCCTGTTGTAGCGTTTCCCTTCTGAGAGTGCCTTTTCTGGAACTCGAAGTAGCCCCTGCTGAACTGGCCTCCAGGCCAAAGGGGTCGTTCCCCTGAATGAGATGAGTCACCAAAGCGGTCAGTGCTGCTGATTGCTGGCTGAGTGGGGTCTTTGGGGGCTCGCAGGGGGTCTAGGGGCTCGTCTGGTATGGCCAAGTCTCTCACCCTGGGCGGTGGGCCTATCAACACAAGGGCCTTTGCTGGAGTAATCCTGGCGGGTGTTTGTAGTCCAGCCGATCGGTACCCGGTGGCCCCCAAAGGTCCGGGCTCTGCTACAGGAGTGGCAAATGAAGCCTGGGATGCTTGGGGCAGCTTGGGCGTCTCCTTTGGACCGGCCTCCTGCCGTGCTGACAGAAGGGCGACCTGGGCGGAGAGTGCTGCGACCTGTTCGGCTAGAGTGGCATTGGTGACTCTCTTGGCGGGGCTTTCCGAATTGCTGGAGGTCGGGCTTCCTGCTCCTCTCGAGCGCTGCAAAAATGGACACGACCAACTGTCTCCTCTTCTGCCCAAGTTTGAATGGGAGTCAACAAATCCCCGAAGAAGGTAGGCCTGTTGAAAGGCCCTCACTGTATGGACAGATCTCTTCCAGGGAGTCGACCACGGGGTCGTATTCACGACAATGCTGAAGGATAGCATCGGTGAAGTCTGCCACCAATATATCAGCACGCACACCTGTCAGGAAGGGAACACCGCATCTTCATCGTTCAGCTCAACCTCAAAGAGCGGGACGGTCCAACCATCTCATCTTCACTGGCCCCGACTGGATGCAGGACATCATCACGAATCACTCCCACAGGAAGGGCTAGCATGAGTCCCCCTCTGCGAAGAACAAGGGGACTGGCAAAGCATTGCAACTCACCTGCACTAGTTGACATCTCTGCAGGAACTGCGAGGATCAACAGTGTAGGATCTGAATTCGATGCAGCTTCCTTCAACGCCCTCCGTTCCATCGCCACAGTGGTGGCACTGGAACCGTCGCCCCTGCACAGAAGATGTGCAGCTCAGTGAGGGAAGGGAGCTTCTCCAAAAAGACAATATCCCCGAACTCGGCCACCAATCGATCCTTCTCCCGCTGCGAGGTCACCCGAAGCAGATCGAAACCTTCACCTTTACGGAGCACCCAATGAACAGCCTGAAGCCCAGGCTTGTAATCGCTGTGGTAGTCGGTATGGCACTTCCAGAATGCCCTTGCCCAAAAACCTGCCACGTAGGCGGCCCGCGCCCTGTCCGCAGAGTTTGCCTTTGTCGAAGAAAGATGCTTCTTGGCAATGTCGTAGCAAAACTGGGGCGTGTCAGGAGGCCCTTCTTCAAAAAGAATCACCGGCTCCTTCTGAGTGAAATCAAGTGGCGCTCCAGAAATGGGTGCACTGTCTTCCAGCAGTTGCCAACCTTCTAAGTAGACACAGGCCGGTTGGGTCTTGAGGCCACACTTGACGATTCACCCGGCTGTCCTTCCACTGCCAGCGTAAGAGCTTGTATGGCTTGAGTGAGTGCTCGAAGATCTTCTTGAAGATGAGAGGCGCCCAAATCACTCATGCAAATAGCCAGCCAAACGAGCCGCCCGACGACGTAGATCAGCAGGAGGCTGTGCCCTTCGATCTGGAGCTGGAACTGGAAAGGGCCGGAGAAAGCTGAAAGGAAAGCCAAAGACCAAGGCCTAATCCAATGAGGATGCCAAAAGCAAGGCCGGCAGCTAGAGGCAGCCACAGAGAGGGATGGCAGTGCACAGGGCAGGATAGTGAGCTAGAAAAGGCAAGGAGGGTGGAAAGCCCGTCAGCCACAGCACCCACCGACAACATCAAGCTTGAGACGTGCATACGAAAATCACGGTTAGTGAAGCATATTCCTGTCCAAAGCTTATTCCTTTCCCAATAGTCCTTCTTGAGAAAACCTACTCTTCAGAGCATGCTCCATCCTGTGAAGGTGTCGTTCTTTGCAAGGGCATCACCCATGGCGTTAGTTTTCCCTACCTGTTCTTTACAGGTCTTCCTTTGCACAAGGTCTCTCCCTGATGAAACTACGTGCACAACGCACCCTCATTTGCAAAAATAGATGTGCAAATGAAAAGTTTATTATCTGTAGTTGCTCAGTTGCTGTGATCCATACTTGTTTGAAGGTTCTCATCTTTCGTAAGGGTTTATCCACTCCCTAAACCCCTTACCAAAAAATTGTGTCTCTTCAAATGCCATGCGTGTTTAGAGTGTGCATTTTTTTGACACCCGTCCTTTGGCAACTCCTTCGCTCGATAGGGATTTCATTGCAGAATGGATGAAGACTGTCCGTTTTTCACAGTTGTTATCCTTGGTCGAGCCCCCTCCTGCATGCAAGGCTTCTCTGGTTTTCAATATCTCATCATTGTTGAAGTCTGGTCTCCTTCTGTATACAAACAGTAAAATGTAAGTCTTTCCTCATATCATTTATCAAAACTGTGTTTTCCCCCAATCGCTTCCTTCTCTGATGCTGATCATTTGCTCTTTGCTTTGAAAATTGCATGGTATGTACAGCGTAAAGCTTCTTTCAGAATGTGCCTTCTCTCAAGCACACCAGCTCCCTTCTCGCGACTCCAAGAAAGGCATGCAGGTTTCCATGAAGAAGAAGTGAGTGGAGACAGTGGGGGCGCATTGTTTTTGGCATATTTGCACCGCAAAAATGCCACCCTTCCCACGTTCCTGCTCTCGATAAAGAAATGTTGGTCGCTCTTTAAATGGGGGTCCTCAAAATAGGGGACACCAATGGGAACCAGCCAGGGGCCATGTGAAGAGCTTCAACACCAAAAAGTTGCCTAGGACAATTTTATATAAAGTTAAACGCCAATCAAGAATATAGAAAGACTCTAAATCGACCGGCATTCCCTGCCCCAATGAAGGTGAGCGGGGTACCTACAGTAATAAAGAATACCTTTAATTGCTTGGCGGGCCTAGTATTGACAAGCACAGCAAAGGCAGTCATTAACTCCAATGCAAACTGCATTTATATAGGGGTTTCGGACATGGAGCTTTGTTGGAATTGGACAGTGTCTTAAATGGGTATTCAGAGCATGCGGAAAACACGAGCTAGTGTTGCCGTCCTACACTGCAATTCTTTGTGCCGTCTACTGTGCCGTTTACAGATTGAAAATGTTCTCTCAATGCCTCTGGTATTCTTGCCCACTATATACCATTTGCAAGCCAGGTTTGAGAACTGCTTGTTGCACAAATAACCTATATAAACACAAAAACAACCCACAGCCGAAGATGTTCTCTACAGAAAACTTATCAAGACTTGTCCTCTGTCCACATCTTGTACCAAGCATAAATAGGGTCTCATCTCGCAATTGAATTAGGAAAGCAAGGCTTGCTGATTCAAGCTGATCCTACCAAGACACCGTTCGCACTAACTATATGTGGCGACTGTGCCAACCACTATGAAAGCTACTGTCAAGGAGAAACTAGCCACTTCAATGGCCATCCTTCTTGGGAACAACTTGAACATCGCTTCACCAACTGTGGACTGCCCTTGTTTTGATGTGATACATCCTTGATTATTATGCTTGTCGATGCACCTTCCCTTCTTCCAAAGCATCACCCCAAGCCCAAGCCTCACTCATTCTACTCCCACGCACACAAACTAACCTGTCAGCTCTGGAGCACCTAGTAGCGATGGCCTCCAACCTACTAGCCATCTAGCGATGCCTCCAACCTAATACCGATGGCCTTCAACACTTCAGGCACGCACTGCTGTCACTGCTGTCAGACTTCTTTTGCTCCAGAACCCCTTTCTCAACCCGCAACCAAGCAATGGTCCAGGCAGAATCCAACCGTCACCCAATTGGCCCATGGTACATGATGCCCACAAGGCATAACAATATACGGCAAAAAGCAAATAACATTGAATTGGTTAAGCTCATCCTGAGCGTTGAAAAAGGCACCCAAGACTCGTTGTACTCTTCAGCTTGACACAACATAACGTCGCCGTGGCTGGAGCACTATTGTATGGAGTTTATCAGCTGCGATGTGCTGGCGCTATTTGCAGAATCGGGTCAATCTTCTTGACAAGAATGCAGCGACTACAAATCTATAGGAGCAAACAAGCACCACGCAAAGTTCTGCAGCGCAGGGAGATCTATGAGACTGAAGAACCGCTTTTCAATGTGCCCCTTTCCAACACCCCCCTCTCCTATCATATCAACTGCTAACAGAAACCGAGGCCGTGATCTTGGCTTGCCTCGGGTCTCAACGTGGGATTCTTCAATTTATCACCCGAAAACAAAGAGGTCTAAGAGGATGACTACACGGACACGGACAACTGGATGGCGCTCTCAGGCTGACTGTGTGGTGTACGGTGTTCGCTTAAAAAAACTTAGTACTTTGAATCTCATTCGCCTTGGTCGGGAGCTTGTCGTTCATCTTCTCATAAAGCTCCTTGTTCCCAAGCACCAGCTCTCACAAAAGGCGATTTGAACGAGTTCGCTCTCAGAGGGAAAGAGGGGCCCACCTTGAGAGTAGCTGCCTCGATCGTTGCGACATCTGTTCCAGAGTGTTCTGACCTCGGTGAGCAATTTACTCCCCCGCTTTTAAGCACAAGGGTCGGTCGAGCAAACACATGGCAAGACAACTCACAATATAAGTTGAATTTCATCACAATCTGAAAAGTTTCTGTCACCCAGATACTGGCAAATCACAGGAAACACTGAAACTGTGTCAAGGTCGGTGTTTGATGTTGTTGAAATTCCTCATCCCCGGAGAACCGTAGCATGTTACCTCTCAAGCCTAGAGAGAAAAGTAGCTTAACGCCAATACAGGTTAGACTAATGCTGATCCTGTAAAATGCAGGTTATCAGCCCTGGGCCAACTAGAACCCTGAGCTATGGATGGTACGATTGGACGAACAGATTTGGTTCTACATATTTGTGAAAAGGAGTTTTCATAGCTACCAGCTACCTTGAATGGTATGCCTTACATACAGCAAGAGTGTTGAGATTCAGTTCACATACTGACGGGCAGTGAGATGATGATTCACTGTTTCACTGCGGCTACGCATTCCTAATCGAATCCCGGTTAGACGGGGAGTGAACCTTTAATCACTACTCGGTAGTGCATTAGGATCAGCATGTGTAACAACATGCCATAACTAACTCGTTAGGCTGTACATCAGATTTGCTACGTTATCCTTGTGTAGATGCATGCATGAGGTTGATAAAGTTCCTTCGTCGCTCGAATTCATATAAACGGCATTTTCCCTACGGAGAGCTCCTTGTAAAGGGTGGTGCTGAAATTCCTCATCCCCGGAGAACCCTAGCATGTTACCTCTCAAGCCTAGAGAGAAAAGTAGCTTAACGGCAAGACCGGGTTAGACTAGTGCTGATCCTGTAAAGTACATATGTGCCACACACAAAATCTATTGCTACGTGATACTACGTGACATCCGGCAAGGTTTACCTCAAACCTCCGAGACCAAGGCGTATCAATGCCAATTCGTTGAAGGTTCTTTTCGAACCAGGCGATCCCAAAGTCCTTCAATCGGAAAATGAATGTGCAAGGATGTGACTTGCAATTACAGGGTTTGGCACCTCGCTACCTTCCCTGAAGCCGCAATCTTGTTCGTAGTGATTTCGAACTGCAGCAATCCTTGGAGTCCAAAAAGAGCAGGTCATCACATAGCAGCGGTTGCTTTTTCAGTGTCAACAGAACAGCCAACAGCCAACAGGTAGCTTTAAAAACTGCTTCATCTGTTGGTGACTTGGGCTGGCCTCTCTCACATACTAGACATATCAGTGATCTGGGTTGAACTTCCAGGGATTTGTGTTGATGACCATTCTCTCAACGCTTCAGCCTTTGAGCCCACGCCGAAGCTGGTCTCTGCGGATCATCTCTTTCTCGAAATCTAAATCCTGCCAACTCAAGGGCCGAGTTTCTTTTAACTTCAACTCAAAGAATGCTCGAATCTATTCCAAACAAATGCACTGCAAAAGCATTCCGACTTATCTTGACAGGCCCCTGCATAATGTCTGAGCTGCACTGAGCCAAATCAGCATCCCCACAGCCCACCTTCTCCAGAAGTTTGAACTTCTTTTCTTGAACACCCTGGCGTAGATTGCATGAAGTATCTTGCGCACCAGTCATGGTGCTGCAACCCAATGTGACCTGCCAATGCTGCTCACCAGCTTTCTTGGCCAATTCTTTGGCTGCCTGACTCCGCTGCCTGGCAGTTCGGCAGTGGTCTTCCCTCCAAATTGAAATGTAAGCATGTTGAATCAAAGCACTCTCACTTTACAATCATGGCCAGGGAACATTTTCTCGTGCTGTGCCAAGCGGAAGTCCTGCACGTTCTTTCTTCGCTCCTGAATCTCCTGGTGCCGGGGGTATGAAAGACGACAGCAAGCGACAGCAAGTTTCCGTAAAGATCTAGGAACCAAATGAATAGTCCGAGCGCTTCTTCAAGGAAGCGTGAGCTATCCTGCGTCCATGCTAGCTTAAGTAAGAAACCTAGCTGCCTAGCTACTAGCTACTACCTATTTCAGTTGCGGCCTACCCCCCCACCCCAGTGTCTCTTGGCGCTGGAAGTGCTCTTTCAAAGCTGACACAATGGACAACAGCATCCATACCAGGACGGGACAAAGCCAACAAACCCTAGCAAACCCTGGCACGGGTCTTGCACCTCTACAAAATATTGCCAGCATCCGTATTGGCGTTTCAGGTGCATGGTATGTTGTAGCTTTGGGTGTTTATCCGCCCCAACCAGTTTGCCATGGACAGTCACAACTTGCTCCTGCAGTTCGCCTTCTCGTGCACGACCGAGCTGCTGGGTGTGCTCATCCACAAAGTGCTGGGCGATGACACAGGATCCGCTACTGAGGCTTGCATTGCGACTTACTTAGACTTCGTGGATTCTGAGCAAAGTCTTGGATTCAATTCTATGCGTTCTATGTAAGCCTGCTCTCGTCCAACAATTTGCCATACACACAAAGCAGTGGCTCCACTACGTCCACTACGAGCATCACTAACAACATATTCGTGACCCACTTGCCTTCCCATGCACCTCGTAGGGATACCTATGATCGATGGGTCGCAACTGCTTCAACCGCTGGTCAAAGAACTGCTCCTTGCAAAAGCCCAACAGGCCCAGCATCTACAACTACATCCCCCGTGATACCACTGGGGTTCGTTTTATGATATCGAAAAGAATTGACTCACGTACATCCTGTCGGAACATCCTGTCGGAAGGAAACGAAACTTCCAGACTACTCAGCCGCTCCTCTGGCTCCTCTTTCACTTGCTTTTGTAAGCGAGGTTGGCTTTGGCCACCCTGCCAAGGGGACAGGTTGCACAGAAGTGAGACCTTCCTCCCTTGGCACCTTCGTTGGCAAGCTGACGGAACCAATCGCCTGTCCAATACATGAAACTCCTGATGCAACCACATGTCCATTGATCCCAAAAGCATTAGGTTGGAGGCCATTTCTCTTGGGTTGGAGGTGTGGGGCCGTGAGAATCTGCAGGACGCCTTTGAGCACAGAGTTCGTCTCAGCTGGAACAGAAGCCTAGCACTAGGCAGGCTGAGGTTCCAAACGCTCAGCTTGCAGGTTGGAACTCGTCTGCATTCCATCAAAATCAAATCAATCTGCGAACAAAGTGGCTTCAAAGACGAACCCCGATCTTCGTCCATCATTTCTCGTACCTTCCAGAATGATGTTGATCTCTCACGGCAGTCTCACAGAAACATTGTTAATCTCAAAAAGAACAAAAGAGTTTTGGCGTTGAGTTGTTCTGTACACTTGCAAGCGAGGCCTGTCCATCTGTGAGCTTGACACCCAGCTCCGGAGCCTTGCAGACTGCACGACAGTACATCGCTGCTCTGGACAGTACATCTAAGGCAAATGCCGCTTGGAGAACCTCCTGCACAATGGACCAGTTCTGCCTTTGCTTCACGGGAACCAGAAGGCAAACTCTCTTCTGCCTTGCTTTTGAAAAATGCAGAAACTCTGACCTTTTGGCTGTCAGGTTGGACTCGTTGGTGAAGGTCTCCTGCCAGCAATTTTGTGACCCAAGAATATGCAAAATCTAAAAATGAAATTTTGTTCAAGGCCTTCAGACTGTACCATGAAACGAAGATTTGTGTGATGTGTTTCGAGCGTCCTCGAAATTCTGAAGGAGTCCGTGCTTGGAGAGCAGTTCACCAAGAAGATACCTAGATATGCTACGCGGTGGCCATAAAAAAAGAATAGTTTCTTTGTACTATTCTTGCGCAGATGTGTTTCTGGCCCAACCAATCAACAGAGTCTCAGGGAGAAAGATCGGCTGAGTTCCATGCCCGTTCGCAAAGTCACGCTCGAAGGCTGTCACCTTCCCGGAAAAAACGGATCGTGGAGAATCCGTGACGAACCTGGAAGAAAACTCACACAAAGCTTGCCGTCTGCCTTTCGGGACAGTCGAACGTCATCATTCAACCTCAAGACTCGGCCACAACATCACAAGATCTTTGTCCTTTTGTGTTGCGACCTGTTTAAGGCCTTCACCATGAAAGAATTAGTTGCGACATGGAGTTGTGTTTCAGCAAAATGATGCTTGTGTGCATGGCCCACTTTTTAGCTTTCAATATGCCCAGTGGCGGACAGTCTGTCAAACAGCCTGCTTGAAACAAGCAAGGTCCTTCCTTGCTGACACAGTTGTTTAACCATACGACAGTAAGCAATGGGATCCCTGTGCTTTCTTGAACCCAAGCTGCGCTATCTCACGTGCCACAAAAAATTCACTGCAGTTCCCAACCAACAATGATGTATTTACCCCGACTGCGTCGCCGCATTGGCATATCACAGATCTTTTTACGCACACAGCTCCAAC